TTTGTACAGTGATCAGTGAGGACAAACATAGGACAGGGCCGGCCACAGCCGATGATTTCAGAATAAACTTCCTGTTTCCAAAAGAATAAAAGTGATGAAACAAGTGAAAACATTTAATATAAACTATAAAATAAACAACAATAAACAATATTAATATGTCTTTAAAGGATGTGAATATGGTTTGATTATTTCCGTGAAATTAAACTGTTAAAAGTGAAAAACTTCTAGAGTTGAATTAAAAATCTACAAACGGATCCATTTTATCTGTTTTATGTATAAAGTTTATGTCTGTTTAATAATGTCAACATGACTCTTTAATTAAAGACCATTTGAATGTTATTAAACTTTAGTGAAACAGGAGTAAACTGACCGTATGTTTGTCTGCGGAGCTTCCTGAATGGACAGTTTTCTCGGAGCCGCAGCAGACAGGACTTCCTCCTCACAGGAAGAGACTCCATAAAGAAAACACTGGACTCAGAAACTGTCCACTCTGTGTCAAACAAAGTGTTCTCTTCTGTTCAGAACCTCTTTTAGCCCGGGAAGACTTCAGTTAACACAAACATCTCTGTCAACACCGAGTGTCTGTCGACAGAGTCTACCTGCAGACGCCTCACCTGAGCCTTCAAAATAAAAGCCGTCAGCCTGTAAAGACTTCTTCCTTACTGATGAACACAAGTCTCAGATCCGTTTCAGCCAAAACATAAAACTCAAATAAAGTTAATAACTTTGACTCATAAGAAACATTTTACACTTAAAATAAAGAGATAAAACATCTTCAGTGTCGTTGTTTGCTCTCCAGTTCGGATAGAACCGATGCTAGCAGCAGCTACGCTAACCTCTTAAGCAGCCGTCATTGTTGTTCAATGGTTTTCTTATTTTACTGGAATACATTTTCTTAAGAAACAACAAAAATAAGTTTAAATTATAAGTTTAGATTAATTCACTTAACAGTGAATAAGATATTTTTATTTAAGAATGATCATATTAATCATGTCTGAGATAAAAATTAATTTAAATCAAAAGAAAATATGAGAAATGTGATTACCAGTTCTTTATGTCTGACTAAAATCTTTTGGACATGGGACACAAGACAAACACGTTCTAATGTTTTGTTTGCCATATTACAAAAGCAGCAACCAGGTGAACCTTATGAATTATTCTGAAATGAGTTTCTTTGTCCTCAGGATAAATTGGCCATTTAAGTTATTACATTTAGATCGATAGACAAAGTTTGACGCAGAGACTGAAGCCTCTATGACGGAGGAGACTTTAAAAGGTGGGTTTATAGAGCTAATCGTTGTGTATACAGAGCTCTCAATGGCGTTATGGCCGTATTTAACAGCAGCGTGCAGAATGGATCCAACCACAGTTCTGTGTCCACTGCAGCTCGTAGGTAACAACAGCAGCAGGTGTTCACCACGCCGCAGGTAAAACTCTAAAACTGATAACATTAATGAAGCTTCAACAGCTGATTACTGATCACAGCTCAAAATATCTGATGTGAAAAAAACACTGAACTGGTGTGAAGGTTGAAGAGTATAAAACACCTATAAACCTGTGCAACTCACCTGCCAGGTCGTGAGTTCAATATACTTATTGATTTATTAACATCAGAATCAATGAATGATTCAGACGAGCTTTTGAATCTAATCATATATAATAAGTAAATATATAGTTACAAATAGATTTTTTTCATATTATTAAAGATTCACATTAAAACCTGAATTGTCCTGATGATTTTATTTTGACGGCACACTGTCAGCACTTCCTGTGTGCAGGTGCCAGTTTGTTGTTTGGTGTCGACTGACGGTCTGACCGGTTCCACTGGAAAAACACCACCAGCTTCATGTGACTGAAGAACAGATCAATCAATACAGAACTTATATATCAATAATAATTATTAGTAATAATTAGAACATTTGTCAGAGTTAAAGGTGTAAAATATTGTTTCAATGTTATTAGTAAATAAAAATAAACTCACACAGGAAGTGAAGGTGAAAGCTTTTATTGTGAAATATGATACTTGGTATAAAGTATAAAAACAAACCAAAGTTTTTTTTAACAAAATCCAACATTTAATGATCATAAAAGAACAAACAATGAACCAACAAAAACAGGAAGTCCCCACAAATGAAACAGGAAGTAGTTTAAGATTTAATAAAAACCATCAGAGAGAGTGGGCGGGGTTATAGACAATTTGCGAGGAGTTATAATCTGTTTTATGTTTTAACAGAAAAAGTTTTTTTTTTTAACTTTTATTCTGTTTATATTCTGTTTGAAAGTTTCAGTTCATAAAAAATAAAATCTCCAAAAATATTTCAGGTTATTGATTATTGATCAGTTATCATCCCCAGAACCTTTGTCTGCCAGCGGGTGGAGGCAACACCTCCTCAGGAGGCAGATGGAGGCTAAAGATGGACCCTGCTGCCTCCACTGTGAAGATGAAGTAGATGTTGGCGGCCAACATGGCGAGACTCGGCAGGAAGGAGAGGCCGAAACCGAATCCACGAACGCTGCTGCCGAAAGCTGCGGCCACCCAATAAACTAGCCTGTAGACACAAAACAAACGC